ATTAACTCTGTTCTCATGACATAAGGTCAGCATCTATCTTGCTTCATTAAGCTGGAGACTGATTTCATATGAAAAATCTTGCAAATGATACTCAGGGGTCATTTTTTCCAGGCAGGTTTGCATGAATAATAGATGGCCGGTGATGGTTGATTAAGATAGGTCAAACCTCGGTGGAAAAACAGCTGTGTTGTTGTGTGATACATGTCGGCACAACACAAGGGGAGATGCATATAGACTTGTTTCTTACTAAATCCATCCAGGATTAAAAATACAATAAAATAACAGGAATTACTGTCACCAGAAGAAGCAGCACACAGTGTTTGAGAATTCAAGTCAGTGTGCTCATTTTAATCACATCAAGTGGTAAAAAGTGTTTTGGTCATTTAATTGTCTTTGCTTGTAAATTTCACGAACACATGGTCACGGCTCAGTAGTGACCCATTTACACACGCTACAAGCGGGTGATATCAAACATTACACTTTTTGGAAAGGTGGCAGTGTCACATAAGCATCTGAACAGGAACAAAGTGTTTCACATATCTGATTATCTTCTCAAGAGCAAATCATAAGAATAATAAAATTGAACAAATACTTTAAGAATAGATTTAGATTCTATCTTCATATACATGCAATTTCTTTTTTTTTAACATGCAATCTAATTAGAATGTTACACGAATATGTAAACGTATTAAACTTTCGGGCAAACTCCCATTTTGCAAAGGTGAAATTAATTTGCTATTTACAAATGCTCTTTTATAGATCTGTGCATTTTCTGATTGGTTCTTATGCAATCGGTCTTTGTGGACTTCACAACAGTCCATCCTGTATTAACCGCTCAAGTACCATTATCAATAAATTAAGTATTTCAATACAAGATGCTGTATATACATTTTAGTTAAAGAAATATTAAATTAGAATCATTCACGATAGTTGTCTATTTTCATGTAAATATAAATTTAATAATACATTGTTTTATTTTATTTTCAGCAATTACCTTGTATGGTTAAGATTCATTAAAAAGTATTTGTGCACTCATGTGCATCCTGGGTATCTTGTGGTTTTTGGAGTATCCCTGTTATCCGTTAGTCATGTAAACATCATATTCTGGTTTCAGAAACCTGGATACGCTGGCTAGAGTATTCCGATAGAAAACAGGATACCTCGGCCATTTCCAAGTTTCTGAGTATTATTTGTTAGTACAGAACATAGAGGCTGAGATGGTGAGAATACCTGCAGGCCGACGATCAGATACCTGGATTCTGTAATGATCGTGTATACGGGGATATGAATAGAAAGGGTTTTCATTTTCCATATAAACGCATATCCTGAATACGATCAAACACAGGATAAGACTGAAAACCAGGACAGTAGCATGTAAACGCATACACTTTGGAATTTTTCCAAGATAGTCAGATCAACAAAGAACTTGTGGGAGTGAAGTGGGGGTTTTACGATATAAGACATTTTCAAAGTAATCACAAGTATACGGACCAATAAACCACATTGAAGAAGAGGAAGGAGAAAGGGAAGAGGGCTCGGGCGTACAGGTCGACTCTTTTGGCAGCAGAGGGGATGACCGGTTTCGGGGGAGGAGGTCTCTTTTTGTTCTTGGCCTGGGATTTGCCGTGAGCACCGGCGTTATTGATGGGTTTCCCGTAGCAGTCAAAGTTTGACAGCTCAAAGTCCCGCGGGAGCGAGCCCACGATGCTGAAGTCGTTGGCCCGCAGGTCTGATTTAGAGGTGCACACCTTCTTACAGCGAGTCTCCGCCACCTGGGTGTACGAGAACGACATGAGGGAAAACAGAATTGATTATTACATTTTGAACCTTTTCTTCTAACAAAGATAAGATCTTATTAATAATCTGAATGTGCTGCTGGCAGCCCCTGAGGCTGTTTAATCAGTGCAAAGAGCGTCTGAGCAGGAGACTGGGATGACTCTTGGTTCTAACAAAGATTATTCCATCCTGCAGAATGAATATTCCTAAAAATAGTGATTATTAAATAGAGTGGTTCTTAAATTTATTGCAACTATTATCCAGTGCAACTCCTCTCTACCGTACACTAGCAGCAAATATGCCGCCTACAAATTAAGGTTCCCAAACAACTGCATTCTCAATTACGTTCCAAGGAAAACTTATTTTCTCCTGGATGATGGTTGCAGTTTTGAAAACAAAACAAAAAATTGCAACAAATGTTTCGACTCAAAAACCGACTTGGTTAGGTTTGGCCTACTATAATCATGTTTGTGACGTAACATAAGTTACGATTATAAATTGAAATAAGGGGACACTGACCATCCCACCTATCCATTTCCACCTCCACCCACCGCAGACAATGATTAGAAATGTGTTTGTGATATGCGTTTGTGATCCCGACACATAATTGGCAATGCAGTTTCACTGTATGGGATCCGATTTTTTGAGAAAAAAGTGACCTATAGCACTCTCGCCCTTGTCCTGTTACCTGCCTTCCTGTTTATGACACCTACCTACTGCTTGTTTGTTTTTCTGTTACAAACCTTTGCTCCAAAACCTGAAGCCTAAACATTTTTTTTATTTTTTTATTTCACCTGATCTATGTCTGACTTCTGCTTTTGAGTCTAATGCAACTGTAATGCCATATACACTTTATAAAACATGTCAATTTGATCAACAGGGCATTATGTCCGTATGCAATCCACGTATTCTTAATTGTTCTGTCTTTAAAATATACGTGACAGACATTTTTTAAAGCTCTTTGAAGCTCTGTTTACTGGTATAACGACACCATTCTGCATCGCAGAATAAAACAGAAATGTTGGCATTGGTTTCTGTAATTCACACCACATCCATTTACTTTTGTCCCCTCCCTATCTCTCTGTGTTGACAACAGAAAAACAAAAACAGTGTTGTAATCATAAAGTGGCAACGATGTCTCTGAGAAGTCATTTCATCTAAACTGTGAAGAACATTTAAATGAGGCTTGTTGTGGACTGTTGGACTCGATTGAAAACAAACTATACTTCAAAAACCCAATAAAGGAGCCTGTTTGATCCTGAAGCTTGGACAGAACTCATGCTGCTAAATCAAAACTACTGTTGTTTTAGGATGAAAATGAAAGAGTTTTGGAGCCAAGATTAGATTGACCATGTGCTCTACAATGCTGCCTAATATGGTTGCCGTCTCATCTTGAGTCTTGTAACTCCACTACACTCGCCATGTGTTATCACAGCGGACAAACAGCATGAGAACTATCAGCAGAAGGACGTCGTTTCATTATGATGTCGTCCAAAAAAATCCTTTCATCAACTTCCCTGAAGGCCTGCGGTGTGAACAGGATCTAATCAGACTATGGATGCTTACTCACTGAAGTCATTAAGCTCATTAGAGCTTCATTATTTTGATTTGGTTTTGACAAGAAAACCCATTAGACCTCAATGGAATAGTGTAATCCTCTCGAAACCAAATGTGGTCTGGACAAACGTAGACTCAGAGGTAAATTAATTTCAATTTGCCGTACAATTGAGAGACCCATACAACATGCTGCATGTCTGATGTGCATGCGAGTGTCAGACTTGAGTCCTGACTAAGATGTGAGTACGAGCATGTTAGAGACAATGCCAATTTTCAATGATTGGGTTTCTCTGTGCCCCAATGGTACAGGCCTGCCTGAGGATGTTTGATGTGGAATATGCATTTTTTCATTGTACTGTGTGTTGTTGCTGTAGGTGGGAGGTTACTTGGAATCATACACATAAACACAGACGTAGTGTGCAAACACACACATACAAAGCAACTAAAAAGCACCATCACTGATATGTTTTGGTGATTAACTGCAGCTTCAATACCCAAGGGGATGTTCTTTATACTTATGGATATGAATGCAATACACATATTTAAATCCGATACATATATAGGACCAGGAAAGATGCAGTCAAATCAACAAGGTCAGTGAAAAACAGAAACAACTAGCCTCTAATCCCAAAACAGTTTTTGCTTGGTTCTAAATTGATGCAATTTTAAATAGTTTGGTTTTTACACAAATGGTTTTCAACACAAAGTAAAAAACTGTATATAAATAGATAAAGGAGAATGTAAGTGTTGTAAGAACCCTTTGTGTACATTCTATGAGTTAGTAATGTCAACAAAAAAAACATTGATAGTGAGCAACAAAAACACTTTTTTCCTTTCTTCTATTTCCATTTGGGTTGATTATGTTTTAAAATGTTGGCAACACGTGTTACCATCATCATGCCTTGAATTATGCACACATAAAGTATTAGTTTGCCATGGAGTCAGGGGGTTAGCTGTTGGCTACACCTGAGCCCTGTATTGTTTGCTTGTTGCATCAAGACATGCTGCATTAGCCGTAAGGATGTAGATGTTAGCATGTAAGGATGCAAACAACAGGCAAGATGACTTCTGATTAAGAAGAAAACGTCTCAAGTGTTATTTTTTAAGCAGTTCACTTTTTCTTTTGACTGCAGCAGTGTGGATACAGACAATAAACAAGGAAAGCTAGAAAGGGCTATGATGAATGGTCCTTGGTCAGATGTTGCAATCATATGGTATGCATCTTGATCAATGGGCTATCAGGAAATACAAAGAAAAGCAACATCTCAAATAATACCGGATACATCATTATTATTGGAAAGAGTAGGTTTAGCTGATTTTAGCAGTATGAGTTTAATATAGGTAAGTTTAATAAGTTTAATTCTGGTGTGACAAAGTATACATAGTAACTCTTGAAATCCATGAATGGTGACAAACACACACGCACACACACAAACACAACAAAGTTATCAAACGAGATCCACTGACTTGCAAGGTGCTGACATGAAGCGGCGTCCCTCCTGTCCCGTTGACCGTGTTGTTCTTGGCTGCGGGGCTCTTTCCCGCAGCTTTCTCCTTGGCGGCTATCTTGGCCTTCTCGGCCTCGATGCGCTTCGGGCTGTTGAGCATCACTTGGACCACGGCGTACTCCACCAGCGAGGCGAAACCAAACAGCAGGCAAGCGATGAGCCAGATGTCGATGGCCTTGACGTAGGACACTTTGGGCAGCTCCGAAGCCAGGGAGGTGCACTCGGAGGACAGAGAGAGCACCGAGAGGATGCCTAGACAAAGAGGGAAGACGATTAACCTTATCAGTCAGCAAAGTGAGAAGAAGTTGGATGAAAGAAAAAGAAAATTGTAACTTTTTCACCGACAATGACTAATCGGTAACGATCAGCTGATCAGTGATGTGAGTTAAGAGCGTCAGAACTTAATTGGTGCTTCCATAATACATTTAGCACATTTGAGGAAGTTTTATTGATTTTTTTTCATTTCCATATGGCTTTTCTAATGCGATACATCAAAATATTTGAACGGAAACACAGCTAATGTCAACTTCTGGTACAATTCTTTTATATTTTGGCCAAGAAAGTATTGAGGATCAATACCCAGCTCCGGTTAATCATATGTTGAATTTAACCATGTAGTAATGAAACACCGGTTACATAAGACAGTCCAGCTTGTGCCGCCTAAATGCTTGTTTCCACTGTGGAAAAGCATTTTATCAACCTACTGCTGAGAGAAACAAAACTGATTCATTTCCTCTTCAAAGCACATAATACTGAACAAATGAATCTCCCAATATGCACATACACTGTAATAAAAACCTCACATCCACACAGGGTTTCTTAGAACATGTTCCTTTACCTCTTTCATTAGGATGTCTCCAAGAGCTCAGACATCCTCTAATTGCAGTAATTTTAAATAGTTTTTATCTCTGATAGCTAACGAGATTACAGGTTAGAGATTCCCAGTGCACAGCAGAAATAATTACAACCACTCTTTAAAGGATGGTATTATAACCACCAATGAATGGCTTTACTCCAATTTCCCTTCCTGTAATGATTCTTTAGAGAGGTAATAAATACAATGGAATGACCGGTGGATTTTGCCTCCAGGCCTCATTATGGTCAGGTTATGGTCCCTACTCGTCAAGGGAGAGTTCATATAGGGTTCAGGATTTCTAATCAAACTGCTCCTTCATCACTGCAACGAGCTGTTAAACGGAGCATTTGTCATCATGGAAGCCAAACTATTATCCACAAAGAGAGAGAAACAAGTGGTGGCGATTCGAAAATAGCTTTGTTTGACTTGTTCCCCAATGACACACTCAGCTGCCAGCTCAGCTGTCCAAAGTAAACCTGGACTTTGTATCAGACAGAAAATCTAAAAAAACATATTTCTGAAATGCAAAGGTAAACCCATTTAATTGTAACATTAACTCACACCCCCCTATGGGAAAAGACAACACACCGTGTATCGATGAAAATACACAAAAACGCACGGTTAAATAAAACCCATCAACACAAAGACATGGACACACACTTAAAGGCTAACACACACACACACACACACACACACACACAGAAGAGCAATAAATGAGCGTAGTCCCACACCTAAATGTTGACTGACCTGGACTGATCCCATTTAGAGAGAAGTCAGAGGAGGCATCCAGGAGGAGTTGGAGTGATGATGGGACGAAAGTGGTGATAAACAACTGGGGGAGGATGGAGAAAAGGAGGAAGTGGACGACTGGAGTGAGATAACAAAATGATTATCTCATCCATGCAGCCCTGCACACACAGAGGTGCCCCTGGGATACTGTTTGTGGGTGACAATGACATATCACACGCAGGTGAAATTATGGAGGGGTAAAAAGTAAGAGGTGAAGTGGAATGCCCATTGTTAAGCAAACAGAAGCTTTGTCTGAATTCTTAATATCATGCGTCAATTCAGGCCGTTCTCATTTCCTGGGCGTCAAATACCGCCGTTCTGTCACGCCCCTCCACGTCTGATTCCGACACACAAGGGAGGGGGTGGAGGTGTCAAGCAAAAGGGGTCCGACACTAAGGGGTCTGACAAAGCGTTAGTATATGATGAGTTGGGATGGGAACGTGTTGTTCAGTTCTACCATGTGCAGTGTTAGCCTGGATGTATGTGAAGTACATTAATATGTAGCACAGACTGATATAGTAATACATAATATAAAAGAATATACTTTGTTTGGTAACTTATTACAAATAAAAATATGCAGGGCTGCAAAAAGAAAAAAAGAAATGGTGAAGAGTAATAAGTAATGAGGTGAGGTCATCACTTTCATCAGTCGTCCATTTGGACCAAACAAAGCACTGCTCCTCATGCGCCTCAGCACAGCCCTTCATTAATTTGGGTTAATAGAGATCAGGTGTACCTCGTTGGCCAGCTGAGTGTCCTGGTTCTCTCTGTCTCCTGAAAAACTCTTGCTGCCCACAATGATTAACATAAAGATTTAACAGAAACACAAGAGTCTGTAATTGTTTCCTGCCATCAGCTAAACTTTGTACCTGCATACTTTGAACTTAGCCAGTAGCCAAAATTTACTAAATGTAGTTAAATTGTTTGTGGCAAAAGGGATCAAATCAGCAGGGAAAGTAACTGGTGGGGTTATATTTGAGATTTTAGTCATTTAGGTAATTTGTTGTGACTGAGTGCGTTGGCAGATCAATGACAGATGTGGAAATCAAACCTATTAGCCTTCGGTTCTTTCCAATGACTAAAAACTAGGGACTTTTACAGTAAAAAAGTGCAGTAAGTACACATAAACAGGGGCTCAAATTCCCATTCATTGAGACGTAAACTCAATAAATGCTACTTAAAAGCACGACTGTACCTAAAGCACCGCTGTGGTGGGTCCCTTCTGTCAATTACAGCTATAATCAGTGATTTATCACATATAGAACAACACTGGACATGGCACCATGGTTGATCAATATAGTCCTTTGTGGTGTCAAAGTGATTGATGTTGTCGTGATTGGGGCGGCAATGTCAGTGATCCCTAAATATATATAAATACAGATTATTTGATCAACTACAATATTTTCCATATGGATTTTTCCCACCTAATTACCTCAATGACACTCGCAGTCTCACTCACCCCTCTTTTTGCTCTAACATCCAACTATGCACTCGACCCTGGTTGAACAGCACAAGGAATATTTACACATCATTTGTATTGGTAAATGTCAGAGGAAGGTGGTGGGATTGATCAAATAATCCGTACCCAAAGGCACCCTGGCGGCACTCGCATCAGGGTTGATCCAGAAGGAAAGCCAGGAGAGGACTACGATGAGCAGCGTGGGGGCGTAAACGCCCATCATGTAGAAGCCAACCTGACGCCTTAGGGTGAAGATAACCTCCACACAAGTGTAGTACCCTGCACGAGGAAGGAGATTATGGTCAAATATGACTTAAATAACTTCAGTAACAAACACAGCTTGCCTTGAAATTCAAATATGAGAAGCAGAAAGAGTCCATAGGTTGCTGGCATCATACACAAGGTAACGGAGTTAGATACAAACAGCATATAGCTACTTTAAAATACGAAATAATTTATTGTGTTAGTGTTGGCATTTGGATTTTGTGGTTCTTTTCAGCAAGTTGAATATATTGTCACTGTTAGACATTCCCAATATCTCTTTGGAATCACAAAGTGGCTGAGGTACTGACTTTGTTAAATCCCCATTAGGCATTTAGAGGAGAGATAGCTGCCAGGTTAAGTCTGTTTGATCTGGCTGTTTTAGCTCCAACACAAAGCAAAGCACAGCTGCACCATTAGTATTACAGAAAACACAAGAGGAGGGAAATTAAAAAAGGTCAATGGGCATAAGGAATTCAACATCATGTCATCTAACTTTCTTAAAGCTTGGACACGTTTCAGCACTCAGGGCAGCATTCCGAAAAGCACTGCTTCCAATTCATAACCTATTATGAAGAAGAACTAGATCTGTTCTCTGCCAGTTCTTATTCTTAGTGGATAGGAACTAGTTCCTGTTTTCTGAAGGTTATCATTCTTAACAGTGCAGCATAAATTTCCATCCACAAATGATCAATTCAAACCGATCCATCTCTACTAGAAACGCGGCCTCCATTGTTCGGGCTCTCGGCAGTATGGAATATGCATCAACAGACTTCAGACCTCCTGCAGCAGCGTTGTGTTCCTGCTCTCTTCGAGGCTGGTTACTGGGTCCAACGAGACGGTAGAGTGGATCGGGCCGAAGTAATATTTAACTAGCCCGGGGATCTCTGGGGTGAGCTTTATACAGCATAATAAGGGCCGCCTGTGTCGCGGAGCAGGCTCGAACCAGTCGTACACAGAGGTGATCTTTGTGGCTGGCCAGGTTGTCATGGCAACCTGGCCAGCCACATGGCACGGTTGTCATGGCAGTGTGCGAGAGCGCCGAGGTCATACCCGCTCTTTTTGCTGATAGAGATTTTCCATTTCACTGTGAATGTCGCTGTGTACTCACGCTAGTCCGAATACACGTAGGGCACACTGCCAGGACCTTCTTTTTGTAGTTTGAATACTCAGTATTTTTTTTTTGGAGAATGCCATGTTCTACATCTGAGTATGTCAGAGTTGATTATAGCTTTTCTCTGAAGCGACATCTTGGAAATATCTACGTATGTAGAGACACAACTTGTGCCTACTGACACTAAAGGAGTAACCGAAGGGTTGGGATGGACAGGTGAATACATTTGACTTCAACTATTCTTCTGATTGACGTTGGTGCCCAAGAAAATGTAGTAATGTGCCAACAGAGGCAGGGAAGAAAAAGACTCTATGCAATGCATGATTTAAAAACAACTGAAAACAGTTTTATGAAAAGAGAAATGCACTCATGTCTTTGTTAGAGTCTCTGAGACTCTTTGTATTTTCATGAAGACTGTGGCTACTGAAGGACATTTCCTTCACATTTGAAGCTTCTATTGAATATTTTTTGCATGAAGCTTTGAAGTCTGTCGCCCTGAAAACATTAAAAAAATCTTTCAACAAAATCCTCAATTTTAATAAAGTAATTCATTGTAATTGAATGAGTTCGTCTTTTTATAATGAGTCACCTTTCTTTGATGAATATAACTGGTCAGTGCATGCCTCCCTTTGTCTGCGGCAAGCAGGGGAGCAAGTATATATATATCTATATATAATGACTATATAATATATATATATATATATATATATTATTTTTTATTACTGGTCACAATATCTTCCACTCTGTGATTTTAGTTGACATGAACAAACAATAAAAGACTTATCTTAAAAACATCATTTTTTATACAGAAGTTAAATTAAATTTTGAAACGGAAGCAGGTTGACTGAGGTATAATAATCTTTTGGCCTTTACCAGAAAAAATAAAGAAGTCACACGGCATCCCCTTAAGTCAGATAAGAACATTCAATTGAAGCTGGCTCGCTGCAGCTCAGGATCCGATCTACTCAGATTTCATCTTTCAATCAACAGCAAGCAACTAATCTTACCTTAACAAAAGGACACATTACCCTCACTGGATTTCTTAGACTAGGAACCCAGAATAAGACAACTTCAATTCTGAGAGAAAAATCCATGAATGGATGAAAGGAACGGCACTCGAGTCAAAACCCTGTTTGCTTCAAGACATTGTGGTTGATGGAAATGCTGGAAAAGGTATGTTTACTCGAATATTTTACTTTGCCGTACATTTTCAGTTTTGCTCCGACAGGAATACCTCAATTTATGGCTGGAGTATTTTTTCAATGATTAAATATCTACTTTTGTAACTTCCTGTGTAAAAATATGTGAGGAAAATGGACAAGGACAATACCTGTTCCTGAATAGAATTTGGTGCAGTTCCCATAATCAATATCTTCTTGTCTGATATCAAACAGTGGCAGAGTGATGGCCTCCATTTGCACTGGGTCTCCTGTCTGCCACATAAACTGCAGGTCGTCTGTGGTGTAGCCAACTGGATGAAAAGGAGTACACAATGGGAATACACAAAAACACATATACATTGTTGAAACCACGGTAGTGGTTACACAAATACATATTTAAATATCCAGTCGGGTAAGCCATTAGAGGGTAATGGCTTGAAGTTGTTTTGCTAATTCAAGTCTATACTGCTTTGTAAACAAGATGCAATAACCACAGTCAAGCTCAATTAGCTGTGAGACTTTCACAACAACCTTAAAATATGATGATTTATTCCACTTCTCTAAGTGTTCACCACTGAAATTGGCTTCTAAACGCAAGCAAAAAGCTTCCATTTACCCCAAAATAATACTGTATCTCCCAAATACAAATAAGCAGACTAACTGAAATCACATTTACAAAGCAATGATGTGGTTTGTAACTGGTGGTTTATGGTGATATTGTTTCAGGAGAACTCACAGCTTTCAAGTTGCATCTTACACCTCTGTGTGTCCATAGGGAACAATGCGAGGTCCAGAGGACAGGAAAGGGTGACGGACAACCTGGAGGGAGATAGAGAAAATTCAGTTGATGCGCTTTTGTAACCCTCTTCTACCCACCACTCACAGAGAAGCCTTGTTTTTTAGACACTCGTACTACCTTGAGATTTCAAAGGATTTTAAGGTTTACCCGTATTTGCATGGGATAAACAAAATGTTACTCTCAAAATTACAAACACATTCACAAGGATTATATTGTATCTGGAGACGACTGAAACCAAACACAGCGGAGTGTAGCTGTAGCCCCAACTAGTTTACAGTGAGCCCCTTGAACGATAAAAATGTTGTTTTTTTTACCCAATGCTTTGCATGTCAACAGTCTCATTATCTTTTCCGAATTTTGCTCTCACAGCCTGCAGCCTCAATGACACAGAAAGAAAAGTAAATGCTAGCAAATAAGGGAAACAAGTCTTCCCTAACTGATTGATATGCAGGCAGGAATAAACTAATCATTGCAGATTTGCAGGGCATTAAGAACACAAATGACCAATTATTGTATAACCATATTAGGGTCTCCAGGTAATAGTCCGACTAGGCCTTAAATCATATGTTTGTTTAGTCTTGCGTACACACGTATTTAAAGCTACATTAGGCGAGCTTTGCACTGAGCCTAGTGCTGCCATTGAATTGCCATTTTGTTACACTTCGTCATTTATCCCATCCGACATCCGACGTTCGTCCTTTGCGAGTGTCCTTCCATTCCACAATTTATTTTTCAGTTGACATGTAATCTACGGTAGTGGCTTTCAGGAGGAGTTAACTTAATTTCTTTTTTTAACATTGATCGAAAATATATGTTGATTCAAGCCTCGGTTACACTCTCAAACGGAAGCGTACATGGACAGCCGGGACACCAAGTGGTTCTGTTTATACTGTCCACTTGGAGGATGCATTCCACACGTGCAGTGTGGAATTTTTTTTTTACACTTCGAGTCTTTTTTTGTTATGTTTAGTGACAAAGCTGTTTAAAATTCGCACAAATATCCTGCTGTATATGTGTTCTGAACTTACTACCATATCTGCAAAGAATAAAAATACAAACAACACTTTTTACCCCAATTGTTCCCTCGTTTAAATAGAAGATCTAAGACTTTTTCTTGTGCACACAAAAGGCTAATTTCTCTACAATTTTGGTCAATAAATTTGTTGAAATACATGAGTGAGCACATATCCTTTTCCAAGATAATCCATCAAACCTGACAGGTGTGGCATATCAAGACACTGATTGTGTGTCTGTTGTGTACTTTCCTGCTTCACTAGAGGCAGATTCCCCTCACTCGTTACGGTGGACGGGTAAATAAAATCAATGAATCTATACATGCTACTTTGATTTCTTCGTTCATGGAAGACTGTATTTTTTTGCTTCCAGTGGGGGATTCCCAGTAAGATCAGGTTACAGTGGTGCAGTGGGGAAAAATGAATGTGGAAACTGCCAATCAGATTTATTTACTCATTAATCAAAGGTGCCCACCTTGCACTGTGATTATGATTTTTAAATATTAGACACTCCGCTAACACTCTAAAGGGGATGGGACATCCTCATGTAACAATTACAAAACTTACAACAAAAGAAAAATATTGAATCAGGCTTTTAATTTAAACGTTCCAAACATTCTGTTGGAGCAGGAAAAAATAACTACTGTTATCTTGAATGTATGAAAAATATCTAAGATCATTACCTCATACTGATGAGGACGTCTCCGTTACGGAAAATGAAGAGGAGAATGTTCTCCTGGGTAACGTCGTGAAAATTGGCACTCTTCTCGTTGGCGAAGAACAGGTCAGGTTTCCAGAGACATTTGAACATCTTTGGATCGACGGTGAGAGAATCAGACTTGAAGTCCTGCGGTAGCTTTAGCCTCGGGTCGTTCCATCGCTGCCGCAGGAAGATGTTGACTCTGTAATCCTGTACAGCAGACAAGCAGACATGGTTAATGTCTGTATCAGGTTAGTACTAACGGATTTCATGATCTTTGGGGAGATCCCTCTCCATAACACTGCAAGATGTGTCTCAAGAAGCATTTTAGATACTTCTCTCTGACACAAATAATTTGTGTTAAAAACAAGAAAAGAAATGTGACATTATTAGCACCTTTCCTACATGACTTTTAAGACAGTGGTAACTTTGTTTAGGATACAGAAGTTCTAACTCATTGACAAGTTACATTTTCTCACAGCAAATATCTCAACAAGACCTTCAACAGACCACTTGAATGTGCCGAGTGATATTTTACAGCTGCAGTGAAAGCTTGAGTGACATCTACTTGTAACGCAGTAAACATAGAGAAAACACCACCCAAGGGTCAAAAGTTATCAATACAGCAACATGTGATCCAGCAAATGCCTCATTAGAGAGCTTATTAGTGAAATGTCCACATTCTTGTTGGTGGGAAAGTATCACTCAGCGAGGCTTTTGGACGTTTGTTTTTGTGCATGCTTTGATGGCGTGCCTCAAGCTGCTCTGGGACCAGGTGTTGGGAAGGACTATTAACGCTGAGTGTGAAGACGGATGACATGTCAAATAAAGCCGCCAAAATACCAGCTGTATGAGTGTGTGTGTGTGTGTTCCTGCGTGATAAGTTAGCTTCCACCTTCCATCCCTTCATTGTTCCCAGGTTTTATAATATTGGTTGCCTTTTTTTTATTTGTTTGATGCAGTAGCGAATCCAGAGTCGGCTAAATGGCAACATTTATCATTGCTTTATGCTCGGTGCGCAGGTGTTTGAATTTAAAATGGTGCAATTGTTCTCATGGGAATACAGTGTAGGTGTTCATAAAATCAGCAGCAGGACCCATAACAGACCGTGATAACATTTACAGGGGAATTTTTTACAATCCCAAATTTCTCCACCTGGTTGAAATGATAAAAATGGGGACTTATGTTAAACTTCTGCAATAGACTATGTAGGTGTCGGTGTTCCTTTGGCAAATCCTTCTAGTCAGTGCAAGGAAATACATCCCTTTGAATCACACGTACTAAACATTGGACGAGTTGGTCTAACATGGTTGTGCATTCATTGCAATGCAACCCTGTCTCATAAACATGGTTTCCCATAAAACTGAACTGCATTTTCAGTTATGTTTCGACAGAAACGTGTCTCCAACTGGATTACGGTCACTTGCTTTTAACGTTGTGAATTAAAAGAAAAGAAAAGAAAAACGTGGTAACAAAACTACTTGGTAGCATGGTTTGTTACTTAAGTGAAGTTACATATGTAACGTCAAAAAAATAGGTTCTTGAAAAATAAGAACGTGAAATTCGTGTGTTTGACCCATCCATACACCCCAACTTCCTCCCTTCGCGGACTTCCGTGGACTTTGATAAGAAACTTATTTCTGGTACGTCAAGAACAAACGTAATCCGGGAAGAAATATGTTTCTCTCAAAACATACGTGAAGTGTCTTTGTCTGGAAACAAGGACCAGACTGTCCACATTTCACAAGCATGCTATTGTCTTTCTCTGGTTCAGTCTGACCAACTTCTGGTGGATGACACAAAAATAATATATTAATATAGGTGTTGGTGGTCCTTAAAAAAATGGACTTAACAGTTCAAATTGTCAGTAGTTTGTCAGGAGTTTTAGAAAGTCTGATGCTGTTGTTTCCTCTGTCGTGGATGTGTTTTGGTCACATGTCCTGCAATTCCAACTTTGGCCACCATGACAAATTATCAAACCCCTCTCTCCGGGCTTGCTTTAAACTCAGTGATCCTCTGACTCACTTACTTCATCCATTGGCTCTAATCCCTGGCAACATGTTGAACCTATCCCTGAGTTAAGTTTATCTTGGCTTCAGTTCTGCAAAACATCATTTTTGGTTTTTCAGATGTTCTTCCATCTTTGCTTTTGTTTGGAGCCTGCCTCCATTCACAACACATGGCTCGCAGTTACTACAGTGATTCTCCATTTGCAATTGCACATTTCTGATTAAAAGTGTGCAATGCTGACAAATATTAGTTTTATATATGTGTGTGTGTGTGTGTGTGTATTTTTAACTACTTTAGTTGGAGCCAGGTTTGACAGTGAGAGACAGCCAGCTGACATGAATGTGGTTTTATAGTGCATCTGTTCTTCATGAAAGCATATTGGTTATACGATTTTTTTCAGCACTATGAAAACTTTTAGTATCCTGCTGTACACTGAACTGAACTACTTGTGTATTTACCAATATGATCTTATGGGAAGGAGTGTGAACAGCATGACATTTTTATGGACATTTCTCACTTGATGATACATTTTAAGCCTTTTTAAGCATCCCTACGTTGTTAACTTGAAACGGTTGCGGTTATGTTTTGGCAACAAAACAACGGTAATGACCGGAGTTATAGATTTAGGCAGCAAAACCCCTTAGTTTTAGAAAAAACATCACAAATGGGCTTAAAGGAATGTAAACTAAGTAAAATAAATACATAAATGACATCACATAAGTACGGATCACACGCAATAAATGTCTGAAAAGTAACTTCAAAATGGACATTTGGTTTCACATGGAACATGAACACCAAAACAGCATACAGCAATACAACTTATTTTTCTACAGATGTTTGTGGTACACCGATACAAATTATAAATGTAGGAGCGTTCTTTTAACTCTTCGAGGTATTTTCACCCTTCATTAAAGTTTATGTCCGAACCAATGTATTCTCCAATAAGTAAGACTCAGCATTGTGCAAGTGTTGAGTATATAATTCTCATCTAGAACTAAATGTCATACTTTAAACATCCAGGTTGGTCTCCTAGAAACCTTTCACGATGTAACTGCATTGTCAGTTACGTTTGACGGGAAACACACACTTGAATGTCAAAAATACGTTTATGATCAAAGTTAAATAAACACAGCACTTTTACCCAGGATACTACTGTTTGTGTCCTTTTGTCTAACGAAAAGTCGTTGTTGGTTTATTTTAATGTTACATGTTACATTTCCCTAAAAACTAATTGAGGATCCAGTTTAGTTGAACAGGAATGTAAGTTTTATGAGAGGGGGTTGATCCAGGATACACGGTGCATACACGGAAAATTTTCATGGAAAAAATGCAGAAAAGATACAATGTTTGATTGATCCATGTGACAAATTACATGGAGTGTTACATGCTGATGTCACAATGTCTTTGAGACAAGAAACCAAATGAAAGGTTTCATTCTTCTCTGTTGTATATGCATTAAAAAATTGACAGCATTTCAAAATGTCAGCTAACACCAGTTTATACACAGAGGTCTTAGGATGGTTTATAAATTCAGCCATAACCCAGAATGTGCTTTATTTCCCTGCCAGTAAACATTTTTGGGAGAAGGAGCAGTGGTCAAACTGTTGATATCTCATTTTGGATAGCCAGCCGTCATTTCTATACAACCTAATTTTAGACTCCAACTCGTCCTTGAGCGACAGCACAAAAAGCTACTGCTGGCTCTTCTCTGTCTGACAGAGATGCATGCCAATTCCCACACCTTCGCTTTCCTGAAAACCAGACAAGGAGATATATCTTCCCTCTGGCTCACTTTCAAGCTGCCTGTTCCGCATTCGATTCCGGAGAGATTTAACACAATCGCTCAGTGAGGAAAACTCAAGCTGTGAGGCAGTACAAAATACACACAACCACAATTCATTTCACCTCACAACATCAAATTAGTCATCCTCTACTGATGATTACAAGCACAAAGTGAAAATAGATATTTTAACTACAGTGGACACAATGTGGTGTTTGGCCTAGGGAGCTGTAAATGATGAGAGAGGCTTTCCTGAGATCAGATACCCCACAGAGTGATGAATTAAGTGGAAGAGTTGACCAGCTGTCCCTTCTTCTCCTCCTGGATCCATTTTGAACTGTCCTCAATTTCATTTTCTCTCTGTCTTTTGTTGGGCGTCCAGGGGAAGAAGGAATACAGATTTGCCATCTGTGAGTCCCTTGTCTTTTTTTCTGTCTCAGTCTTATGCTCTTACTTGTTCCTTCTCGATCACATCGTTTTCCTTCATTTCTTTTAATTCAAATGTTCCTTTTCTCTGTTTTTCCATGTTATCCTTTCCAATCTGTATCATTTCTCTCAATCTTCCCCTGTTCAATTTCCTTCTTTTTCATCTTTGGTCTCTTATTGTCTGGTATTGTCTTCTTTCTCTGTCCCCCTTCCCTTTCCTTTCGTCTTCCCCCTTTTGCTTCCCCTTGCCATTCCTTCACTTTCTGCTTACTGCCCCATATCGTTTTTCTTCCTCAGCTCTTTTCCACCTTAAGCCTTCATGTCGCGTGCTTCCTGATCTTTCGTTCTTCTTCTGATTATTCTCCTTGATTCCCTATTTTCTTTACCCCCTTTTTTGTTTCTTCCTATTGTTTTTCTTTTCGTCCATCATCCGCACACTCCGGTTCTTAATACTTCGGGTTTTAGGGTTTCGCATTTTCAGCTCTGGTCTGTAATTGGTCCTGGTGTAAAGCTCTCCACTGGAAGATTTAACAAGCGGACACACTACTGATCTGCAGCCAGAAGACATCTCCAGAGAACATTTTCATGCAGCTCCAATTCCAGTAAGATCTAAGGCTTTGTTCAGAGTGTCATGAAATGAGGTAGGAAAACACTGATCACTGCTTTGGACTGAGACACTTTCCAGACCTGCAACAGGACTCTGGGAGCAAAGGTCTAAAATCTAGCACTATATCTTTCCAGTGAAGACAGACTGGCCGTATATTCCAGAACTAAAATTGGATCATTTATACAAATCAATAGCAGGTTTCTGAGCAAAAAAGGTACAGAATTGTAACTGAGCTGCTACACAATACACGGGTCTGCTAAACTTGTCATGAAAGTAATGTTGCATCTCTTGCCAGTCTTTAAGACTTGTATGCTTTTCTATGATTTCATCTTTAGCTCATTTGTTTGAGGAGCATACGAATTGTGTCTGCTCTACATCACATATTGTAGTCATCTCCATCAAGCATGAATGCCATTGACCAAACATTGCTGGTTCTTTCACAGCATTTGCAAACAATTCAAATTATGTTATAATTTAAGTTGTTAGTTCAGGTCTTTTTTTGTTGAAAAAACTTAATTGAGGTTTATTATTTGGTATGTTAAGCATTTTACTTGTATTCTGATGTTTTGTCAGATTTGGCTCGATGATTCACCTTGTCACTCAGGAGCCCAAAAAGCGCCTGCATGAGACAGGGAAGATTTTATATTTTGCTATCAATTATTCTGTGAAATGTGGGTCTTCTACTGGAATAAAACTCCTGGATTGCAAACTGTAAATCTGCTTTGCATAGATAGAGGACACTGTCAGGTGAGACAGGATCAAGCCAAATTGTGAATTCTATCACACTGCACTGCATTAATTTAAATTACCTTGTCACATTATTGAACATATTTACTGAGAAATAAACACTTAATGTTTATTGGCTCCTCCCAGCAGCTTTAAATTAAAATACGCCGGAAAGCCGGGCTCATTAGAATCCTACAATAATCTTCCCTTTATTGTTTCCTAAGCGATCGAGAGTCGACCCCAGTGTCGTCCTTGACGTTTAATCTGTTCTTTTGAATTCAAACTGCACTTCTTTATCAGCAATTAAGCCATTAGATAAATGAAGCATGGAAACCCCAGGCCTTCATAATGATTTACTGCTAAATAGTCTGATATCGTCTAGCAAACATGCTCATGCATCCCACTTAAAACTTGTAGGACGGAGCAGTTTTCAGCTCTGACCCACTGAATCTGATTGGCAGACGTATTGATTATCAATACTGTCAGGCTGAAGTGGAATTGAAGTAAATTCTTACCATCGTCGTTTCTTGAATGGAGCCAAAACTGTTGATGAAAATGTTCACTCTGTCTTCCACAGGAATTCCTGGATTTCGAGAGAGGAAAGAAGAGTTTGTAGTATCGAGTCCTGTGTTTTACAGCTGCTTTGCAATGAGAGTGGGGCTCCGCTGTGGATGTAGCTTACAGTAAGTGTCAGCGTGCTTTGAAACCCTGTAAATCTATATTTCTACATATTGTACCTGGCAATTCAATTGATTGTGTTACTGATCAGGCATTATGAAAGACTGTGTCAACATTGCAAAGCAATATAAAATCCCCTCAGCTAAGTTAATGCTGTAAACATATATACTGGCATGTCTTTCGCATAAACTAATAAAATCCTTGATGAATGCAGACTGTTCACACTCCTTTGAATACATTATGTCCTTTGAGGTGTTTACTGGAGCCTCAGGAGTTTCACAGCCTAAATTTGATCATGCAATTCACAAAATGAATGTGCATAATATGAAGGTGGCTTATAGCTCACAACTTCCATGCATTAATGCAACCAAGCGAACTAATAAAATATTCCACAAACACCTCTGCTGTGAGCTTAAAATTCTCTATAGGGCCTATAAAAGCAGCTCTCCATTTTTATAGGCCTGGGCAAAGCAATGCACAAGGCACAGTTTAGGATGTAGTTTGGAAGATTATGACATGGATGTTAATGGACGGGGAGCTTTCAGCCCAACCTGAAATCAAGAGCAGATGTTTGGCTGCTGGAGCGGTCGCAGGCAGTCAGAAAGGGAGCTGATTCTGCTCACAATACATCAAACAGTGAGTCCCAGATACAGCTTCTGCTGCCAAGTGCCAGAGGATGGAAACTACCTGAAGACTGGCGAAGACCATCAGTCAGACGCAGAGGTCGTCAATCACCGCTCACGTTATTTTTATGGCTGTCTCTGTGACACTGAAGGCTGCTAAAGTGTGACATTTACACTGTAAACACTGTAAAGATGGATACTTGTGAAGAATGGAGTAAATAATGAAAAGAACAGTGGCGGATTCAGGCTTGATATTTGAGATAACAGTAGTTAAATATATTGTACAAAATTCACACTCTATGTTCTTTTTTTAAGATTTGACTGTCTTAAGTCACAGATTTCCTTCCCATCACAGCTTGTGTGTGTCAATCCACAACACAGCCAACCCGAGAACACCGGCTTATGGTTACACTGTTGAAGTACATGTTGAATATGCAAGTGTATGTAGGAAAGGAAAAACATTTTCACTAATGCCTCACGCACCATTTACGCAGATAGCTGTCCCTGCACCAGGTTTATGGAGGTACATATTTACAGTATACTTGTATCTTCAATTAGCATGACAGCACTGCAGCAAACATGTAAATTCAGAATAGACAGAGACAGATGAGGAGGAAATGAGACTTGCCTTTGAAGTTGGGCCTTATTCTGGGATCATAGGTGATCAGTAACTTGTTCAAGATGGTACTGGTTGTATTCTCGGGGACTCGGGCCAGATCCTCAGCTGACAGCTGTCTGCAAACAAATAAGACAGAGAGGGAACTGCAGGCACGATTACATTAGCAGGTCAAATTCCTGCCAGATGCACACACACACACTTCTACTCTGTACACTCTTTGATTAAACTATATAACCTTAGAGAGCTACCAGTTAATGGGATTAATTTAGCTTTTAATATTTGGTCCACGCAGGCAATGTTGACTGACTAAGTTGGCATGATCCTTAAAGATAGGGGACATTTTTTCAGCCTCCTAGGACAATTATGTAACACCTTTTGAGAACAATGTATGAACATGTATGAAGTCATTTAGCATTATATTTATAGCAAAGCTATGCGTGTACGCCAGCTCTGTGAAGGCTGTACTTAGGTTGAGCTGTGCTTTCAGCTAAATGCTAACGTCAGCATGCTAACATTTACAGTGCTTACACATGCTTGTATTTAGTAGGTATGTTTACCATGCTAACATTTGCTAATTAGCGTCATACACAGTAGAGTTGAGGTTCGGTTGTGTAAGGAAATTATTTTTGGTTTGTCTGAGGAAATTTGAAGATACTGTACGGGGGTCAAATGCTTAATATGTTACAACATTATCGAGAAATGACAGAGTGGTACAGTGCATGCCATAAAGCAGCAAGTTCAATTCCGATCTTGGGACCTTTGTTGCATGTTATAACTGTATCTCTGTGTCCCCATTTCACTGTCATCTATTTAATAAGGGTGAAAAAGGCCAAAGAAAATAAAACAGCAATTTTCTTGGAACAACTTAATTTGCAAAGTAAACAAGTGAAGAAGCATTTAACTCCATTTTTCCCAACTTAACTTTAGTTGCCTTGTAAAAATCCTTTAAATCATTGAGTCAATGAATCACCAATGTGGGTGGCAAAGAGTACACATGACTTGTCAAGACAAACAGTATTTTTTTTTCTGTATATTTCCACTTTTCATTGAAACCAAAGTGAAATTTTCCCGTCGAACCATCAATTAGCAACACAAAAAAAAAAAGCTGTAAATTACTGCCACAACATAAAGTGGTGGCTTTCAGAGACGTTCAACCAAACATCATTTGCTGTCTGAGGTTGACTGATGGGAAAACAATAGGACAGATTGAAGGAAAGGGGAGAACAGGATCTGGCAAGAGAGACAGGAGAAAAAGAAAGCCTCCTTGTGGGTGGCAATGATTTTCCTGCCAAAGAATTCCCCTTTCTCAAAGCACTTTACATATCATTATGTAAACCTTATCATGCACTGAGGATGAGTTAAAGTGCTCCACAGGAATGCTGCGCAGCGTGTGTATGTTCTGCGGTTCCTCTGATCAAAGTGAAACACATAATTCCCATCCACTAAACCTCTTTTTTCCCTCTTTTTTAACAGACCTCTCTGACAACCTCAAGCACAACAGCTAAACTGGAACCAGTGGTTCCCTTGATCCACAAAGGCATCCGCAGCACTAAACTCGAAATATGTCATACAGCTTACACTTGCCAATACTGGGACTACATCAAACGGTTTCTCCCTCATTTGAAGAACTTTTCATTGTTGAGCCATTTGTTACCATTTAAGGAAGAAGCGGGTGCAGCTCACCACAGTCAAAAGGCATGTTAGGACATATTGAGAATGTATCTGACAACTTCCCTATTTATTTGATACTGTCTTAAACAGTGGCATAATACCAGACAGTTGCAGACGGTCAGCAAATACTAAATAAGGAAATGCTCAAGCAGTGGCCGAATCAGTGTTGGACAAAAAGGTGTGACCTTTGCCTTGCAAGTATTCAGTATTTTTAACACCACATGCTTTTGTCGGATTTGGTGTTGATTTTTGGGACACTCATTGTTCCTTGTTGGCTGGGTTACAGGTTCATATCATACTTGAATAGCTCTGCAGTGAAGCAGCTGATGAGATCTGGTCAAAAATGGAATGGTGGATAAAGACTGGAAAGTATGACACTTCAGGTGTAAAATACACAAAGTTATGCTTTCATATAGCCATTTTAGTCTTTTTTGTAAAAAAAATTGACTCGTCAAAAAGTGATAAAAATGCCTCCAAAATCCCACATTAAGACACCAACACCTTAAGGAACACCATTAAAAAAATCCATGATTTGACTTTTGCAAGAATTGCAATTGGATTTGCAAAAAACACAACAGGATGGTGAGCAGTTCTGTCAAGTAAAATCCTCAGAACCCCCCTCATTGTTAATATACATAGGAAAGCCATGTATCCTCTGAATATGCTAGGTCTCAAGTTTGGGATTGAAAAGATCCATGAGGCTGTGGAATGGCTACTATGGGGACTAACATGAATACAATTGGGGTAATTGGATCCACCAGAGTCTCAGCTTTCCTGTCAAACCCAATTCATGCAATTCCAAGTCTGTTTAGGGACTCCAGTATACATTTATAAAATAAGTGAAAATAACACATTTGTACTGCATGCCAAAAGAACTGCTTGGTTTTCCCCCAACTGCATGTGATTGTTATAAAAAGGCATATCTGTAAAGGGGAGACTTGTACCCAGAGAACCTTTTTTTATTAACGTATCTTGAGGTAAGCAGTCAAGGGACCCCTTTGAAAACGGCCATGCCATATTTTCCGTCCCCAAAATCCAGCCAAATTTTGCATCGCTAATTAGCTTCATTCTCGTCACGCTTGCATGACATGGTTGGTACCATGGTTGTACTATGGTTGCCTAGTTTCATATGGTGTCATAGAATATACTAAAGAGAGTTATGTCGGCCAGGATCGCAGACGATCCACCGGGTCTCATTGTAGTTTAACAACCACTATGGGCACCTCAAATGGTCACACATAAAGGACAGTTCATTAGTCGCTGGGGTACTACCAAGCCAATGACAATAGTTGTACGTCTATTATGGCTACCTGAAGCATATCATGTTGTCAATTCCACTGTACAGTATGACAGCCCATGGTGTTGTTTATCACATACTTACGATGGACAGTAAAACTGCTTCTCTTTTTTATTTCCCTTCTTTGTTCCTTTTTCTTTGGCCGAACCTCCCTCTAGACAAAGAGAAAGGACCAGGAGAAAGATGGCGAGCTTCTTCATGCCCATTCTGGTGTGAGATGAGCCTTTAGGAGAACAAAAAAACAAAACAAAGATAAGGGGGCACAGCATTTAAATGACTCAGACATGGTGTGCAATTTAATAAGCTGCACTTAATTGTATTCTCGTCACATGCAATCAAATCTAAGCATTCATTTCAACATGTGACAGAAGACAGTGGCTGATAAAGCTTTGCCCTCAGTGGGAGTATACGGCTTTGGAGCGATTTATCTATTTTCGGAACACCGTGACTTTTATTTTTACTCTCCTGACATAATGCATTCCCATTTACTCAGGATGCATGTCCCATTACAGTAAATGTCTGAAATGTAAATGAATCAATCGGACATGGTTTAATCAAGTATTGCAAGCATAAATCCAATCAGCGGGAGTAATGCACCCGAATAACAATGGTCATTCAGGACTCATCAGGTGAATGTGACCCCGAAATATCCTCTGCTTCAGTTTACAACCTGCAGGACAATAAAACCTTAAAAATGCTGTTTCTTCGTGCAGCTGTAGATTCTCTTTTCTGTCACCACAGTTGCTTATCACGATATTTATGAACTATATAATTTGGTTTGATCTATGATAGCTGTGGTGTTATAGTTCAATCCATTCTCACACAACAAATAGTAAAATGTAGGAGATAATATGATGCTATGTTTGCCATAAATCTCTTTGTTAGAAAAAGACGAAACAGAACGATATATGGACACTTCTATGCACAGGCAGCGCGCTTTTACGTTTCTTGATAAGGGGCCATTAATCAGCTAGCAGCCGTAGTACCAGAGTGATTCATTCCCCGTCTAGGAAACTGTAGCCCTTTCATATGGACACTGAGACCTCACGCTAAGCCAACAGTCTCATCCCCCATCCTGCCAGCAAGACTGTGTATTAACTGAAGCAGTTTATTGTCTAGACAGAGACGCTCTCCCTCACTTTCCCACCGCCTTGTCCCAGTAACTCCCTGACTGCTCCTCGCCTGCACATTGATCATCTTCTCCAGCGGAAATCGTTTCCACCGCTCAGCTCAGCGCCTTTTGTATCCATGCAAACACCTTGCCTCACCTATAAGTTAACTCTACATAGTTTTATCCATTTGGAAGAGTTCTGCAGAATGTGGGGTTGTCCCACTGTGGAAGAGAAAGTGGAAACCCACACATATCCGATGGCAGCAGCTGGAGTGACGGGGAATGTTTAACTTGGCAACCAAGCACATTTCTTAGAAACCACTTCTTATGTGACCTACAATTTCTATGCCCCATATTTCTTATAGCAATTCTTCTCATGATAACTCCCATCAAAATATGACCACTGGCATGAACAAACCTCGCTTTGTGGCACTGTTTCCCAACTTTTCGTTTGCCTTGTACCTGGCAATAGCTGTTAATAGCAAAGCAATGTTGCAATGTTCCATTGCAATCCTTGGTCACAGGTAACGTGTCTTTAATATGTGAGCAGATTACCAAAGACTCTAGCATTCTTTTCTTCATTTTTAAATGTTTGTTAAACACCTTTTAAACTTAAACATGCTCACTGTTAAAGTAATAGTAATTAATATACAGTACATAGTCATACTAACCAATTGACAGTTTCCACTTAAAGGACAAAGAAAACCACAATGTAACACAGGCTAAACATGTATTTGTATTTATTAAGCAACAATTTAAATATCACAGGAACAATGTTCTTTAAATACATTAGACAAAAAAGAAAAATACATTATTGTTTACAGTGCAAACTAAACTAAACTCCCTTTTCTTATTTAAATGTTTTTGTCAAAGTCATCCATAAGCCTTCTTCAGATGATCTGCCATAGAGTGGACACCTGTGAATAGAACAAATCTTAAGCATAACTGGAGTTTCTGTGATTGCAATTTGACATACACAACTAAAGACAAACATATAGGGTAGCCTCTCTATTTTACACAGTATCATACTCAAATGGTGTTTTGACCCTCTTCTTGTTTGTACACCACAGTATTCAATCTTAACTATATATAGCTCCACTCGCTTTGTGCAAGTGAAAAATTCAATTTTATAGCCTACAAGACAGCCCATAAAGCCAGTCACATTAGCAAGCCAACATTACACACACGCACACACACACACACACACACACAAACATGCAGTGTAAATAGTCTGGCAGCATGTTTAGCCTACTGTTGGTCCATGATGCATTGTGAGCCGCTTGAATTTAAACTAATGGTGCTAATTTCAGTTTGCTTTATTGAAATACAGTAGTCCAAGTACTTACAACGTATGTAGGTCGCGTGATGCCTCACGTTTATTTCGTCAGCTTGTTCACCCGGAAAGAGTCTCTCGGCGGCGCTACCTTCGAAGTAGTCGAAGCGGTGTGAGCCAAAGCACTTGCGCATGCGCGTTACAGCAGTAATCACACTCTCTTTTTTACACAAATCTATGGTATTGGAGCAGATATGAGTTTTATATTGTTGATCTTGTGCACTTTGCTGTGTGTACAATTGAATACATTTCAAGAGATAGCCAGGCCATCGTGCACACCCATGCAAAACGGATATCTGTGCAGAGAAATGTGGGTTCAACCGAGGCCGAGTCGATAAATTGACCTTGGCACTGCCTGAGTCAACTGTGCCACCACTTAAGAACATGACCCTTGCTGTGTTTTACTCCTGGCAATGTTAAAACTGCTGAGGCTTTGTCATAAAGTGGCTGACAATGACTCAGGCAGGCTTACACGGTCTGCCCCATGGGTCCAAGGTCAATAAGCAATTCCACTCTGACCACATCTTTCACACAGGCTGTACAGTTTTTTAGAATATCATAATTATGTCACAGCTCGGTTACTTCTATCTAGCCTTTTCCTCCTTTCACTCACCAAATCAGTTCATTCAGTGCACCTGCCAGTCACACTCACCTCATCAGCTCATCACTCTCACCTGCTCACTCTGCCTCTTCACTATTTAAACCCCTGCCTCACACACACTCACTGCCAGATCGTTCGTTGCTTTCATGCTCAACTTTCCCGCACTCACCCATGGACTGATTCCCTGTTGCCAACCCTGCCTGTCCCGGACTACCTCGCCTTGCCCCTGCCCTGGAAACTTACTCAGCTCTTCTGTCCTTGACCCCGAGAAACCTGTCGTGGATTCTGCCAGAGAATATTCTGCCTGTCGTGCGTTGCTAATAAAGAACTCAAATCAAACCAGTCCGGGTCTTGTCGTACTGCTCCTGGGTCCTAACTACACCCGTAACAAATTATGTCATTCTATAGGAAATAATGAATGTCAGAAGATGATAATACATAGGCAAATGAGAATGAATTATTTATTTGCTATTAATATCAACAATAATACAACAAAAGCTACGTGATTTGGTGTAAATCATATTTATGATTCACCATTTATTTAAAGAATATGATACAATAGGCTACCTGGTGTTTTTTAATTGCAAATATATTTCACCCACGAGGAAAGGCCTGTGTTATGCTTTAACAACATGCATACGCAAAACAATGCGAAGCCCCCAGTATACGCGCGGACTACCGGGGCGCTAACAACCTGTGGCTGATCGTCGCATTGGGTCTCTTTTAAAACATGAGAAAAGTAGGTGACAGTGACACTAGATCACAGCCTGAAGAGCAGAGGGACACAGCGACCACCATTACGGGGAGGCAGGAAGAAGATGGCAATAAATATGAACGCGAGCATGCAATTACGCATCACATGAGCGCGCGTTACGACCATAAATCACACGAAAGTCGGTCATCATAAATCATTCCGCTACTTACCGTTTAGACGTGTCACCTGTCAATTCGGAAACTACACCCAGTGAAGCTGACAGTGCAAACAGCCGTTAACAGAGCTTCCCAGACCAGACGTTGTCTTTATCACCCATTTTGTTCTCCGCTGTCTCCGCTGAAGCAATTTTTGGAATTAATTTGTTGTAAAAAAAAAAAGTTGAATCTCGGCACATTGCCAATTTTTCTTTATTTATCACCGCGCCCGGTTTGTTGTTATTTTGGAATCTGTGTGTGTATGGCTGCTGCCCTTTCGCCTCAGCTCGGGAAGCCCAAGATGGAGGTTTTTGCGTGGTACCTGTCATGCAACATGCGCAGTAGCGGCTGCACGGAGCACGAAAGCATCAGTTCCCCCCCCCCCATCAGCACCACGGACAGCAGCTCTCCTCTTCATCATCCACAGCCGCTGCTAAACGCTGAAACGTGACGTGACGGCAAGGGAAAAAAATAAATGCTCTCGTTTACGTGATGGGTGCAAACGCCTCAGTATTTATGGCCGTGTGGTATTTAGCGGCAGATGGACTTGAACAGAGGGGCTGAGCATCAAGCAGAAACTGACGACAAATTAAGGACGCAATAAAGCTCAGGCCCAGTATCGTAATGAATTATTATGTGGCAATTCTAAGGAAGCCATAAACAGACATGACGCACACATTTTTTTTTTATGCCATTATCTCGAGGAAACAAGCCTTGTTTTCTCGAGATCACGAGATAACTAATTGGTTATCACGAGAGCACGAAAAGGTTGTTTGCTATTATTTCTTAAAATTTTTGGGTCACATCACCCAACGGTAAATGTTTTCAACCCATAAACTGTATATAAGAATATTTACTGATCGAGCTGACAGTGATTGACTTGGTGAAGTTAGCGGAGGATACACGTGCGATTACATCCGGTTTTCAAAATAAGATGTTAACAATGTTATTTACGAAATGCATATCAAAACATTTACCGTCTGCTGAATTTTAAAAGCAACTTTTTTTGTTGTTGTTGTGATAACAAATGAATTATCTGGTTATCTCAACAAAGCTTGTTTTCTGATAATTAACTTGTGATCTGGGGATAATTGAATTTAAAAAAAAAAAATTTGAATCTTAAACCTTCCGTTGTATTCAAAGACCAGACTTAACATAGACTCTTCTAAATTTTGAAATCTGATGTTACCTATTAGCCGGAAGTTAGTTGTTAGATGCTTGTGACTGTGGTTAACACAAACTTAAGATATTGTAAGATTTATGTTGTACAATATAAAATATGTCAGTGAAGCCTAACATTTCCTCTTCTGCCGATTGCATTCATGCTTCAAAAATCACAAAAAGTGGTTTTCATTTGTGAAGTTTATCTTGCTGAACAAATCATGAAAGTATCATAAACTTGTATTTGCCACATAGCTTATTTTCTGCAGGATTCCAAGGTCCCATAGAAAAATACCATTGATGTTTAAAAAAAAAAAAAAAAAACTTGCCATGCTATTTTGTTGAACAATGTTTTATGAAAAAACTATCTCACCACAAGGTCCCATAGCTGTTCCAAAAGATTTCAATCACATCACATGATCTTCATCAGCAGATGGAGAACAAAGTCCTTTAAGTGACAAACTACATCTGCTGATGAAGATAACGCGATATGATTGAACCCCAGGACAGCTACTAAATGGAGCTTGTCAGTGGTGCAGAGACTGAACTGCTGTGTCCAAGGACAGTTAGTCAATGTTAGCTGTCAGCTATGTTTTTCTGGAAGTATAACAGGTTGATGTGTTTTTGATCTTGGTGGTGTGAGATCCCTTTATGAAAGTCTGGCTTGTGCTTGGGAATGAACAAAAGAACAGATAAACAGTGAGTGAGGGATAATTGAATGAATGGCTTTATCAAAAAAATATTTGGCAAAGGACCGAACAGTTACAAGCTCCCCAAATATTATTACTTATGGTCTCATCATCGATTTTATATAAAGCCTTAGAGTTTATGAAGCATGTTAAAGACTTTTTGTATGCGACACATGATTGATGTTCCTCTGAAGTGCAAAGTATTCTGTAGGGAGCTGAGCTTTCTGCTGGTGGTGGGTAAAATCTCAAGGCTCGACTAACCAAAAAAACAGTAAAATACTGCTCATTCTTGTCAAAATGGTGTGTGTGTGTGTGTGTGTGTGTGTGTGTGTGTGTAAGGCTTAGATCAGCTTAAAGTAATGTTGACAACTGCTAATATGATGGAGTTTCCTCTCCTTGAGCAGCCACACGCTGTCGATTTTAATCTTGAAGTGGATTACCCTTCCTGCTACCTCACCTGAAATGGACAAGAAAGGATGGTCATTAGTATATAACAGCAATCAGCCGCTTACTATGTATTATTGAATCTTAGCTTTCCAGTTTTAGCGTTGGATGCCCATATGGCTCATATAAAAATCCTAAATTGGTACCAAATAGAGTTGATTATCATGGTGGTGCTAGAAATTGCAATCATATTTTCTCTGTTACAAACAGAATTCACTCAAAATATTTGGCATTTGTTAATATAAACCACAGCATGCACCTGGGTTTGCTTGTGGTTTCTACTTTTTCCAAAAGCCGGAACAGTTTATGTCATTTTTCATTCATTTTGTGAGTTGATTTAAAACAGGAAGCCAGATCTTTTGTTCTCTCAGTGAAAATGAAATTCATTGCAGAACACAACTGAGGCAATTTTCCCCACAATTTTTCGATCAGTATCTCGTCCATCCATCACTTAATGTCAAACAACTTGGGCGGCCTTTCCACATTGATCCCTGTGGTATAATTTTGCCTGACAAGGCATTCCATTTGCGCACACAAATTAATCAGCACCACATGCATGGAGATTAATGATTTATGTCACAGGGCATGGTTCTGGTGTTACAATCAAGACGCTTGCGATGGAGCAC